CTGAGGAAGACCGACTCTGAGCTAACATCTATTGCCAATCCTCCTCCTTTTTTTTCTCCCCAAAGCCCCAGTAGATAGTTGTATGTCATAGTTGCACATCCTTCTAGTTGCTGTATGTGGGACGCGGCCTCAGCATGGCCGGAGAAGCAGTGTGTCGGTGCACACCCGGGATCCGAACTCGGGGCGCCAGTAGCAGAGCGCGTGCACTTAACCACTAAGCCACAGGGCCAGCCCTACTTTAGCTACAGGTTAAAGTGTGTGTGTATGTACATGTGTGTATTGACAGGGGAGAGTTGAGGGACAGGAATAGGATGAGGATGGAAATTAGGATGTGTAGAAACCTCTCTTTTGTAGGAAAGAAGCTTCTGCCTCATCCTCCTTTTTCCCTCTATACACCCGAACATACCCACAGTCATGGTGTCTCCATAAAGATAATTCCAAGTAAAACGTGCAAGTATGATATATCCGTTCTGTCCAGCTGTGTGACTTCCCAAGTGGTTTCCAGCATTGGGTATTGGTTGGACTTACTCTTTATCCCAGCATACTTCACTTCCCACATGGTGAGGCTAAAACTCATAGCCAGAAGGCTTGGAAAACCTGCTCAGCTGAGGAATGCGGGCCTGCAGGCATGAAACCTGGTCTCCTTACCCAGTGTAAACAGGAAGCAAGTGATGGTTCTAATAAGGAAAACTGAGACTGTAGGCAGTGAAGTGCTGGCAGACAGCACCTAAAGCAAGCCAGGGGCCCAGTCACTCAGCTGGTAAATAATTGCTGTAAAGTCAAGAAGAACATTCAACACTACCCCCCACCCCACAACACACACATACACACTGCTATACCTTACCTTACCCAACACACAGCCCCTATGCAACCAGAGTTGTTAAAACTTGACCCTCCGTTTTTGAAACTGGAATAAAAGGAGCCAGGGGTGGGTGTATAAAAGCTTTTAGAGAAAAGTATGTGGCTGGTGGCATTCATATCAGATGACATCGCGTTCCTGTCACACAGATTGAGTTCAGGTGCTTGAAATGCTCAAGAGCCAGCTTGGGGAATTGGCCTTTTGTCTGCCTCTCCTTCAATGCATTGCTTGTCACTCTGTATGCACGGCCCCTCCCTCTTTTAGAGGGTTCACAGAAATGACTAGAAATGAAGTGCATCTGACTCTAAGGAAATGCCAAGTTCATTGAGTATGACATAGCGTCAACTTTTTCTTTCCGCCACTTAGATTCTGAGGCCACAGAGGATTCTCATGAAATGAAGCTTATGATGAGGACTGGGGAGGCATGCAATAATACAATTTGACAAACATTTATTGATCTGTGAAAGGTATCCTGACAATCCAGAGGGTGTTGGCAACGGAAATGTTGAGGTGAATCGCACTTTGGCCTTTAAATCATAGTTTGATGGCGTTGTCAATGATGTATTGACGATATTTATTGATTATTAGCAACAGGCTTCCTTTATGGCCTTTGTAATATGTTTCCAGATTCCAGCCTCATCTCATTCTACTTCCTCAACCCTTCCTGAAATACATGAGTGCGTGCGCGCGCACACACACACACACGCAGAGCTTATACACAACTCTTTATTAAAGTTAGTTTAATCTTTATAACCACCCTATGCATTTGATGCTATTAATATCCTTTTATTATGGAAAAGGAACTATAAAACTCAGAGAGGTTGGATAACTTGCCCACAGTCAAACAGCTAGTGAGTGCCATATTTGCAATTTAAGACCACATCTGTTTGATCTCAATACTTATGTTCTAACATGTTACACTTCCTTTAGTTCAGTGGTTCTCAACAGGAGATGATTTTGCCCCTGGGGGACATTTTGCAATGTCTGGAGACATTTTTGATTGTCACACTTGGGGTGGGAATGCTACTAGTATCTGGTGGGTAGAGGCTAGGGATGCTACTCTACATCCTAAAATGCAGAGACATTCTCCTCCACAGCAAATAATTGGCATTCAAAGTACGAAATAGAAAGGAATAGGACCAAGGAAGCTAAAATCTTTCCTGCCTATAAATAAATAATGATAATATTTATATCTTTAAATAATGTACTTTACAAAATATTTTTGAATGATTCACATAAATTTATGCAACAGTCTGATGAAGTTAATATTTGCTATCACTATGATTATTATTATTTTCCCATTTTCAAATGTGTAAACCAAGGCTCAGTGAGATTAAATGGTTTTTCCAAGGTCTAAACATCAGTAACTGATAGAGCAAGGAATCATTCCTGGCCCTATGTATCTAATCCCAAGCATTTGCCCACTATTCACAGTGATGGAATGGACATGGTTAGATAGCAATAAGTTCTGTATCATTGGATATATCCATGTAGAGAGGTGTGGCTTCTAGGTGAGGATGTGGCAAGGCAAATAAAATAGATGAGTGGCTGGAATTGATAAACTTAAGATCACTTCTGATCTTGAGATTCCATGATTTTAAAACACAGTGATTAAATGCCCATGTTATTAACTTATTCTACTCTGTTTGCTTTCCTCTTCTGGAAGCTGAAAAAAGAACAATTCTTTCTACTTTTCTTATCTGTCCAACTAAAGCACCGGTGGAGTTGACACAAAATCCCCAGGCTATGTGACTATGGTTTGTTTCATTCAGAACATCAATATTTGGATCTCTTCTAAGGTCTCCAAGAGGATGCTGGGACTGGGAATTAGTAATAAGAGGTACCTTCTATCTTTACCACCACAGACTGAAACTCATGGAGAACAAGCAAAACCCTACTTGTCTCTTAGTCTTTAGCCTTAATGAAGTGATTCTATTTTTTAAAGTAATGTTTTGATATTATCCACTTAGGCAAATATTACTTTAAAGAAAAATAGAGGGCCGGCCCCGTGGCTTAGCGGTTAAGTGCGTG